CACCAACCTCGGTCATTAACCGAGATCCGGATTACATCACATGAACGTAAACACTTGTACATCACAGGAATATTAATGGAAAAATTACAGAAGTGATGATAAATGAAGACAATTACAAAATAACGGACGCTACGTGAATAAAAATTAAGAAATGTGAGAAATAAATTAAAAAAAAAATACCTGAGGAGAATGATAAAAGAAAGAGTACCGAAGTTACAATTTTATGATTGACGGACTAGTGTCAGTCTGAGAACATATTGAAGGTGCATTGCTCATGATGTGTGAGGCGAGGAGACCGTATCGAACGTGGTCTACGTCCTCGGCTCATAAGCCAGTGACCGAGGTTCAATCCCCCGAGAGGGGGACTGAAACATATATAGACTTTAAACATATATAGAGACACAAAGACATATATGTCTACAGAAAGACATGTTTAAAGACGGACATATATCTCTACAGAAAGACATATTTCTACAGACAGATACATGTCTACAGACAGATCTCTGTCTACAGACAGATCTCTGTCTGTAAACAGAGATCTACAGAACAGGTCTGTCAATAGACAGACCTATGTTTACAGACAGACAGACATGTCGCTATGCACATGTCTACATACAGACACATGCCTAGAGACATGTTAACAGTCATATAGCTCTAGACATTCAGGCGACACCGGTCCACTAGGCGTTACGGAGGGTACAAATAGCCTAAGCTAATCTATTCTATGGAGATGCATTTTATTGTCTCAATAAACGTACTTGAACTCGGGGCTAATGTGGATCGCTTCCCATTAAGGCGGAACAAACGACGAAAAGAAAAATTATAAAAAAATAATGAAAATGAATACAAAATGAGAGAAGAGCGAAAAGTGACGAAAGAATGCTTGAATGAAAACCCCAACCATTATATTAATAATTCATAACTAAATTAAATAATAATAATAATAATAATAATAATAATAATAATAATAATAATAATAATAATAATAATAACAATAATAAGGGATTCAACCTCACCACAAGCTGATCAACTCTTGGGTACCTATTTACTACTAGGTGAACAAGGGCACTGGGTGACAGGAAACGCGCCCAACCACTTCTGTTACGTCTGGGATTCGAACCCGGAATTCCCGATTGTGAGTCGAAAAACGAGCCCGACTTTAATACCGGGACCCCTAAATAAATTATTAAATGTTATTTCTACTGTTAACCAAGAACTTTTTACAATGCTAGGTTTAATACTGTACTTTTCTAAGACTAGATGACTCAAACTATGATAAATTGTCACCATAAGGTTTAAAACACAGTAAAACTAAAAACATTGATTAATACTTTAAAGAATAAAATAAGGATAATAGGTAAATGTTGATACACATAGTCTTAAATAAAGCTGTGTTTTTCCTCCCAATGGTTTCAAGAGCGTCAGTTCTCTTCCAAGATACAAGAAAAAGAAGCCCAATCCCCTTCTGTACCTTCTGGAGAGAGAAATTCGTGAGGGGGTCAGCGATGGACGCACACTGTCCCGTCTTGAACTTATACGCCTGGCCAGGACCTGCCTGCAGGAGAAGCCCCACCACAAGCGTCGCCAGAAGCCTCCACACCACCCCACGGCCTCCGTCACTAGCTCCCGCCATCAACACTTGACTTCCTTACGCCACTTCTTCTTGCAAGTCCTCAAGGACTTAGGCAAGATTGCTTAATGGACTCGTTCTCTTGCTTCAGGGCAAGATGGTAAACAGTGTTCGAACTCTTACTTCAGGGCAAGATGGTAAACAGTGTTCGATCTCTGGTTACAGTACAAAATGTAGCCATATGTTCATTATCGAGGAACACTGAACGATTTTAGTTCTCATGCTGTTTAATAGCAGCTGATGGCATCTGAATTTTGCTGGTGAAATTTCACATTAATTCCGCCAGTTTGCGGTAAACGATCACCGATCCTCAAGTCCTTCCGGGGACCAGTGTTGAAGCCATAGGACAATCGATTCCAATCGATCATCAAGTTGCATTGTTGAACACCTTCGTTAAAATAAACGCCTTCTTAAACCTCCCTTAATATCTTTCCAATATGTATATGTATTTAAATAGTCCTCACAGCTTTCACACATCCAGCTTGTGTGAATTCTAGACACACACTGGAACAACAGGAGAAGAAAGAGGTCATTCGGGCCTTCCCTGGAACCCAACCGCTGGTGGTACTTTTGAGTTAGCCAACACGACCTTGCTCCCTTAACCAGACGAACGATGGGGAGACCCAGCGATTGCAATATGTTGGGAGAAGGTGTGGGGGAAAGGGTGGGGGAGGGATGGTGGTCGTATTGTTGTGGTGATGGGTCGGGGGGAGGAGTAGATGGGGTTGCGATGGCGAGGATTCAGGTGGCAAAACTGGTTGTTGTGATGTAACCAGCTTTAGCGGAAGTCACAGTTCCTCGTTTTGTATTGTTTGTGGTTCGTAGCGCCCATATACACATAGACACACATAGTGTATGGTAGAGCTCACTCACACACACACACACACTACATAACAGGCACCATGACAATGGGAGGACCAAGAATAGTAGTAGCAGTGATATATAATCCTCCACCAAATGACAGAAGACCAAGCCGTCTTCGGCTTGTATCGGGACGGCTAATGTAGTCCCGATACAAGAAGGGAATAGACAGGAAGCAATGAACTACGGGCGTGTTCCTAACTTGTATGCCATGCAAGCTGATGGAAAAGACTGTGCAAAAAAGCTAGTGGAACATCTGGAGCGAAAGAACTTTGTAACACAGCATCAACATGGGTTCAGGGATGGCAGGTCCTGCCTCAAAGGATTAATTGAATTCTACGACCAGGCAACACAAATCTGGCAAGAAAGAGAGGGGTGGGCAGACTGCATATTTTTGGATTGCCATAAAGCCTTTGACACAGTACAACACACAAGGCTAGTGAAAAAGCTGAAGATGCAGGCAGGAGTGAAAGGGAAGGTCCCGCTCCTGTGCCAGGTAAGTCCACTATGGGCTCACCATAGTCCGTACTACTTGGAACGTTTTGTTCCGAGTAGCTGAATCTAAAACAACAACAACAATAATTACACATGCAACCTGGCTCCTGCTTCAACTTTAACGACGAGCGGACGTCTGGACGCCTCCTCCGCCTGGGAGCCGCTGGATCGCGTTCTGTTTTCGTGGTTTTGGATTTGATGCTGCCGTTTGGCATCCCTATTCAACGGTCCGGTTTGTACGACGCCTGGCGCACATATCGCCTTGGATTACAAGGCGGTTGATAGATTTTTAACGTTTTCTAGTTGGTTCTCCCGGCGGAGTGACGGTGACCAGCATGGCCGAGAGGTGCCGGTAGTTGGTGGGCTCCTGGTGGGCCCTCAGCCGTGGTGGGCGGCTGGCATCTGCTCTGTCGGAGGGCACCGGATGATTTTTGCGTTTTAGTTGGGGGTCGAGTTTTTGGTTTTGCTTCCCAGTGTTCTCTGTGTATTCACCTAGTTGTGCTTGTTGTCACCCCAATCACCTGCCTGGCTGTGCATTTCTTCGACGCGAGCCATCTTAGTGTCTGGTGACACGCGTCTTCGTTTCGCCATTAGGATTTGCGAGTAACCCTTTACAGTTAAGCCGGCCGGGGCGCACCCGCTCCCACGACCGTCGACGTCCCTAAATTAACACCACAGGCAACCTGTCCTCAGGTTAAGCCCGTCAAAGCTCCGGCCGTTCCCTTTGACGCATTTCCCAATTTTAACCTTATTATATATTTTAAAACAAGTTTGTTATGTGAAACACACATAATTGTCAACAGACAATATATTCCGAAACCGGTTAAGGGGGGCGAGAGTTGAATGGGAGTGCTTATATGACTATTAAACACGGGATGTGTTTTGAGAAGGGCTGTTGTTGGTGTGCCAGTTGGCTGCCTCGTAAAGTCATTGTTACTCATCTTCGTGCCAAAGTGTACCAGGTTAGCTGGGTCGTATTTTGTAAACATTGACAGCTGACGTTACCACATAGCATTGTCTATTGCCGTTACGTCCAACAATCACGCCATTAGTATTATTTTCCGTCCCAGGCTTTCCTCACCCCCCCCCCCCCCAGTGTCACGGGTCACCCGGAGGAGTGACACATACAGCTCCACCACCCCACCTCCATCCCCACAGTGACAAACCTGTTTTAGTTTAGTTCATTTATTGTGGACTGTGAGTGGTTGTCAAAATGTCACATATGCTGCAGGGTGTTGTGTAGGTGGACACAAGTATCGTGTTGGTGGACACCCAACCCACGTATCATGTAGGTGGACACCCAACCCACGTATCGTGCAGGTGGACACCCAACCCACGTATCGTGCAGGTGGACACCCAACCCACGTATCGTGCAGGTGGACACCCAACCCCCGTATCTAAAGCAACAGGATGTGTCGACGTTTCGGTCCGTCCTGGAACGTTATCAAGTGGTCCAGGATGAACCAGGACGTCGTCACTTCCTTTATGCCCATTCATAAGGATGGCGCCTGCCTCTGACGTCACGCTGTAAACAAATGCCGACTGTTCACGATTTTTCAATATTAAGAATAGTAAGAATCTACTATTTTTAATTATTCTTAATTATTAAGAATATTAAGAAGCATTGTATTCTCCAATCAGTTTGGCGATTCCGTTGTACTATATGCGTGGCTAGGATTTTGGCGGTTAATGAGAGATTAGGCTTCTTTTGTTAACTAATTGGGACCTCTTTTGTTAACTAATTGGGACTTTTGGGCGTTTTATACTATTTTCACCGAGAAAACAAAAGCTAATCTGACTACTGAAAAAAGGTGGATCTGTGGGACTATATTTACTATCCTTATATAGGTCTACGTGACGCCCATGGCAACAAATGGCGATCTAAGTTCCTAACCGAAGAAACTATGATGTGCTAGAGTTATACACAGCAAGAGTAACGGATATGATGTAGCACTGCATCACGTGACGTCATAGTAAATGATGTCGTCACTGTCCAGCGGTGGAAAGTAGTAGAGGCGAGTGAGAGAGTATATATCACAGTGGCTGGCTCCCCCCTCCCCATAGTTCCTGTTGGTGCGTGTGTGTTGATCCCTGGCGGTGTAGTACAGGTGTGGTAGTCATACAGGTGTGGTAGTCAGCCGGGTGTGGTGGGTGTGGTGGTGGTCATCCAGTTGCGGCACTCATATAATCCTTCAGATAATACCTAGAACTGATTTGTGAAATATTAGACGACTTTCACTTCCATATAGTTAGATTGTTTATATTAGTGACATTCTAATTTGCAGATCCACGAGGCTCCGTTACTCCGTTTACTTGATAATACGTTCAAGGAGACAACGTTAGGGCCAGGGGGAGGAAGAGGTATAGACGTGTCAGAAGGGAATAAAGAAGGCAAAGAGGTGGTGGTAGGTGTTGGAAGAAGAGGTGCATGGTGGAGGAGGACCATCGGGGAGGCGACGCTGGACCACGATGGATCGTTGAACATCACCAACATCATCAACAAGCAGTGATGGCGTAAGTAACCAACCTGCTGATTTTCTCAGTGATTTTATATCATCTTGTACAGTACAGAACGTCTTACAATGCCTACCCATCTGGGAACTTTGAGAGCAACTCTGCGTAATGCTACAAATGTTGATAATAATTGATAATATATCTAATTTATTATAGTATCTCTCGTACTGGCTGGCTATATTACATCGTTAAGGGAATATGAGCACACTCGCTCTCCCCTTTAACTGTCTCTCAGCATGATACAGCAGCTGTATTAACTCCTTCATCAACTAGATCCGTCCGAGGGATGTTGCTGCTGCTGCTACTGGGGTGTTCCCTTCCCTTGCCGCCCTCCTCGGCCCTGCCAGACCCCCACCGCACCTGGCGACCCTTTCTGCTCGCCCACAAGAAGAGTCTCTCTCCCGCCCCAGACGCGGAGACCTCAACACCTCGCCACACTGGGGCCCCCAATTTATTGCCTGTCGCAAGGGACTCCTTTCTTGTCCCAGACGCAAGGGCCCTCTCCGTAGCCACAACAGAAGGGGGCCCTCATCCGGTGCCATCTGCCGCACAAGTGGAGGGAAGCGGTCCTCCAAAGAACGTCCATCGTCGCGCCAAGGTCACTATCTCCTCTGTTATCTTTACCTTAGCCGCTTCGGTTATAGTGATCCTTGGCTTACTTTCTTAGTGGTTAGTTACTGTCACAAATATTTCATTGTAAGTATTAACTAGTAGTCAGAAGATGGGTTAAGTCGACATTTACAAAATTTAGGCAACCGAAATTGATAGTGAATGATTGTTTGCGGTCAAGGCCTTAAACACCCGTCACACCAACAGCTCAGCCGACACCAAGAACAATGACTCTAAATAAACAGCTTTCATCCTCTCTCAATTTGAAACTAAACAAGGAAAAACTTGATCCAAACTGAACGTAAATACGACAGCCTTGACCCCGACAGCGAGTCCCTGCGCCAGGTTGGGGAGAAGATACGATACGGTAGTGGAAGAAATTCTAAATGTAAGCATGCAAGAACAGCAGCAGGGGTTCAGGAGCTGGAGTGTGTGTGTGTGTGTGTGTGTGTGTTTGCACTCTGCAACATTCGTGACAAAAAAAGGTTATGCAACATCCACATGAATATCCGGCGGTGATGCCTCCTCTCCCTTCCTCTCACCTCCGGCACAGATAACCACACACGTCTGCTGACCCAACTCCTGTGCAACTCACCCCTATAATACAGTCACCTCATGCAACGCTACAGTTGCTACCCCCCCCCATAGCTATATGCAATTGTTTGTTGCGATGATTGACATGAAAGGTTGTTTGTGAGCAGAGAGAAATGATGCAACGTGTTTGATGATTATGTAGGGCAGAGAAGGTGAGAGGCGGGTGGCCCGCTGACCTCCCCGCAAAAACACACACACACACACACACACACACACACACACACACACACACACACACACACACACACACACACATACACTGACACGAGACACAGCGAAAAATTAGGTCGGGAGTCATTGCATTTGAAAACCGGTGGATGTAAAGGCAGCGTCCAAGTACTGAGGTACGACCCAGCAAACACAAATTGCTGAGCACACATACACTCATATATATACATATGAAGAAGCCACAATGATAGCCTTTTGTCTCAAGAGACCTTGTAACGTGTATATTTACTATTTGTGACTACAGGATCGAGCTATTAGCTCTTGGACCCCTCCAAGATCTAACCAAACTATTTTTCCTCTATTATATCTACTACACATCAGATTCAGATGTTTATTCAGGTAAGGTATATACATACAAGTGATGTTACATTAATGGATTGATATATAGATAGAGCTAGTACATACAATGCCTAAAGCCACTATTACGCAATGCGTTTCGGGCAAGAAAAACATTAATATCTAGAACTTAATACTAATTGAGCATAAAGAATAAAAGATGTTGAGAACAAATACAAATAAAGATAAAAAAAAAGGGGGAACATGACTGAAAAAGCAGCACAAATACAATAGGTTGACAGTGTTGATTAAAAAAAAAGAAAAAAAAAGAAAATAACAGACATGGGTTGACAATAGAGGAGTGAGGTAGATTACAGGGAATTTATTACAGGGAACATATTTCTCTAACACACGCACACAAACACACAATCTCAGGAAGCAGCCCGTAGTAGATGTCTAACTCTCAGGTACCTATTTACTGATAGGTGAACAGGTATATTAGGGTTAAAGAAACTTTGCCCATTTGTTTCCGCCGCCGCCGGGGATCGAACCTGGGCCCTTAGGACTACGGATCCAGAGCGCTGACCACTCACCGACAGGCCCCCCTTGTGTGTGTGTGTGTGTTTGTGTGTGTGTGTGTGTGTGTGTGTGTGTGTGTGTGTGTGTGTGTGTGTGTGTGTGTGTGTGTGTGTGTGTGTGTGTATGTGTGTGTATGTGTGTGTGTGTGCAAACACATCATCTTGCACAGTACTAAAGATAACATGACTTATCTAGTCAATCAGCTGTCAATTTGGGTTCACATCCCGACTTGTCAGATTTGTTATTTTCACTAACAAGCTTAAGTACACAGCACTAAGCTTCTACTCTAGTCTACATACAGTGCTCACGGAGTGCATCGGAGTTCATCTACTATCCCCATCCCACAGGATAACTGATCCTGCGTGGCAGACGTGGAAGTCAATTAAGGTTCGAACACATATATAACTTATCACCTGATATATTTAATCATTAATACCAATGTCCTTACCAATTACTTGTTTATTTTCAGTGGTAATAATTACTCGAATCCATGACACTATTTACAGTTTCAGGGACTGACTGCAGGTATGAATGTTGAGAGTCGGATGTATCAGGGAAGGAATGGGACTGATGTCATGAAAGCCTTGAGTCAGAAAAACAAAGATGGGCACAGATCCAGCCCCCAGTCTGGTAGAAGGAGTGCCGACGCTTATGTATGGTTGCGAGACAATGGTGTGGTATGAACGAGAGAAAATATCAAGAGTTAATAATTCAAATCAAACGGAGCGACCAGTACACAAAATCCATGAGCTACATGACTGAAGAGAGCACACTGCGATGGGTCGGCCAGGCTGAACGAGTGGATAATACGCAGGTGAAGAGAGGGCGGACCAGTGATACTGAACACAGCTAGAAGAGTTTAGAGAGGATGGGAAGATGGGTCAGCCATGGTGTGTGAAGCATGAGGAGAGAGTGTGTGAGGATGTATAGGTTAAGTAATAATTGTAATTACGAAGCAATAAGATGCTTATCTTAACATACTAAGAAGGTTAGGTAAGGTCGGTGTTTTTTATGAAGCTTTTCAAAGTACACTAAAATATTCACAGTAAATTAGTATGTCACATATGCACTTATTTAATAAGTCAATATTGACTGTACGAAAGTGCGAGAACGGGTTGGAGGATGCGGAGAGTGTGAGGAAGCGATGAATGAGTGTGTGAGAGCGTTAAGTGTGAGGAGCCAGGAAGGGAGCGTGGTCAAAGCACAGGATATGGTAAGCGACAAAGGGCGTGTACACGTACTTATACAGAGGAAGTAAGTGCACCTATACAGAGGAAGTAAGTGCACCTATACAGAGGAAGTAAGTGTATCTGTACCTACTGTACATAACAGTTCCGAGGAGGACTCTACACCTGGTCTGATGAAGCTGTGGGCTGCTGCTCTCTCTTTATGACGTGTATTGCTGCTCTTCACACCGCACATCATCATAAAGCATCTTTATGATGATGGCGGTGTGAATGATTTAACGAATTGACGTCCCACATCCACCCTGTGAATGTAGGAAAAAGGGTAATGATATTGTATGTATGTATGTATGTATGTATGTATGTATGTATGTATGTATGTATGTATGTATGTATGTATGTATTGTACCAAAAAATATATCGTAAAATTTGTTATTGCCATGAAAGAATATCGCATCTTTTTTTCCGAAATTTTTGCATAAACCATTAACTTAAATTCTTCAGATGGATATTAGGAGCTCGGTGCCTGTGTGGAGCGGGACACTATAGCGCCTGGCGGGTATGACGGAGGAGCTAAACTCTAATATTTAATCCTGATTTGAATATTATGTTTATTTGCAGCAGGCGGAGGACCACTGGATGGGAGAAAAGAAACATCCTGCAGTAGACTCCATACACGTCACACACGCCATCTTCAAACGTTCTCAGGACGATGACGTTATCGACTTACTTTACGGGCGAAACACAGACAAGTTGAAGCTTCAGGAGCGAAATGAAGAAAGCGAAGGCGCTGTTCAATCCTTTATCTCATCTTTAAGAGGAATCTTCAGAGACTCCTGGCTGGGCAGTTCGTCTGGCAACAACACTGAGGCTTCTGAAGTCCTCCCGGAGTTGAAGGTCATAAGAGGTGAAGACGAGAGTCTCTCCTTGCCTGACGGACGGGAAGATGACAGAGACACCCACGGTGGTGGTAATGAAGGCGGGAAGAAAGGTGGGAAAGACAGCGAGGTGGATGACGACCCGGAGAGAACGAGAGAAGAGAGACGCGCGCATGTCAACAAAAGATACCAAGAGTCGCCGGATATTGGCGAAGACGAGCCGGGGACTTCGAGTAAGGTGCTCAGGAGAGTTCGCCGACAGGATAACGAGGGTGACGGTGGTGGTGGTGACGAGGGTGACGGCGGCGGTGGTGGTGGTGGTGACGATGGTAGTGGTGGCGGCGACGATGGTAGTAATGATGGTGATGCTGATGATGGTAGAGGATCTGGTGATGGCAGCGGTGAAGATGGTGGCCATTTCCTTGCCAAAAGTAAAGTCAATGGAACCACGAGTCCAGTCCTGGACGAAGACGATGAATATGAAGACTACTACGTGCAGTATTATGAATATGAAGATGGTGAGGAAAATGATACACGCGACCATGAAGGAGGTGAGGATGCAGCTGAAGCCTTTACTAGTGAAGGTGAAGGTGAAGGTGTGGATATATATGAAGACTTAAATAGTGATAGTGATGAGGACAGAGATCAGGCTATAGACGAAAGCTTAGATAGTGAGGATAAAGGTGAAAATGTAGTTGCGAGCCTAGAAAGTGAGGGCAAGAAAGGTGAAAGTGAGGGAATATATATAGGCTTAGATATTGCTGGTGATAAAGATGAGGATTGGTTTGTAGAAGGAGGCTTTAATACTGAGAGTGAGGAGAATGAAAGTGAGGATGTAGTTGGAGGCTTGGAAAGTGATGGGGAAGTAAGTGGAGGTCAGGAAGGTGTAAATGACGATGAAGATGATGACTATATTACGAACATCTTGGAGGCAGAGAGTACTGAAGGTGACAATGACAGTGTAACTGAAGGTGACATTGACAAAGGAATTGAGAGTGACAATGCCAAAGGGACTGAAAGTGACAATGACAAAGTAACTGAAGGTGACAATGAAAAAGGAACTGAAGGTGACAATGCCAAAGTAACTGAAAGTGACAATGACAAAGTAACTGAAGGTGACAATGACAAAATAACTGAAGGTGATAATGACACAGTAACTGAAAGTGACAATGACAAAGTAACTGAAGGTGACAATGACAAAAGAACTGAAGGTGATGCCTACAATAAATCATCCACATATGTTAACGAAGATGATGATCAATACGAGACGAGTGAACTGGACACAGTCATTGTCCACGGTGAATATGACGAAGGTGAAAATGATGATGAATATGATGCGAGCATCCCTGAGGTTGGAGGCAGTGAGAGTGCACATGGAGACGGTGAAAGTGACAGTGACTATGAAACGAGCATCTTGGAGGAAGGGAAAGCTGGCGCTGAATATGACAATGCCACAGAAAGTGATGGTGACTATGAGACGAGCGGCCTCGAGGTCACCGAAACTGAGGGCAAATATTGCAATTTTACTGAAGGTGACTGTGACGAAGAAAGTGAAGGTGACTGGGACGAAGAAACCGAAAGTGACTATGACGACGAAACTGAAAGTGACAGTTACAAACAAACTGAAGGTGAAGGACAGAGAGAGACGAGCATCCTAAAGACAGGCGGGGCTGAGGATGAATATGACACTCAAGGTGATAGTGACTATGAGACGAACGAGCTTGGGGCAGTCACTGGCGTGGGTGAACATGGTCATGGTGAAAGTGACGGTGATTATAATACAGATAATCTCGAGGCAGACGAAGCTGAGGATGAATATGATTATGGGATTGAAGGTGATAGTGACTTTGGAATGAGCGGGCAAGAGCCGAATAAAGGTGCTGATGGTGAATCTAACAATGGCACTGAAAGTGATGGTGACTATGAGACGAACAGCTTGGAGGCAGGCGGCGAAGAAAGTGAAAATGACAATGGCACTGAAGGTGATGCTGACTATGAGACAAGCAGCTTGGAGGCAGGCGGTGTAGTAAGTGAATATGACAATGGTACTGAAAGTGATGGAGACTATGATACGAACAGCTTGGAGGCAGCCGGTGAAGAAAGTGAATATGACAATGGCATTGACGGTGATGGTGACTATGAGACGAGCAGCTTGGAGGCAGGTGGAGTAGTAAGTGAATATGACAATGGTACTGAAAGTGATGGTGACTATGAAACAAGCAGCTTGGAGGCAGAAGGGGAAGAAAGTGAATATGACAATGGCATTGACGGTGATGGTGACTATGAGACGAGCAGCTTGGAGGCAGCCGGTGAAGAAAGTGAATATGACAATGGCACTGAAAGTGATGGTGACTATGAGACAAGCAGCTTGGAGGCAGGCGGTGTAGTAAGTGAATATGACGTCATTGAAGGTGATGATGACTATGAGACGATTGACCATGAGGAAGGTGAAAGTGCTGATGGTGCATATGACAATGACTCGGAAGATGATAGTGACTATGAGACAAGCAGCTTGGAAGCAGAAGGGGAAGAAAGTGAATATGACAGCGGGGCTGAAGGTGATGGAGACTACGAGACAAGCGGTCTAGAGGCCGGCGGTGCGGAGGCTGAATATGACTATGACACTGAAGGTGATGGTGATTATGAGACAAGTGGCCAAGAGGCAGGCGGTGCGGAGGCTGAATATGACTATGACACTGAAGGTGATGGTGACTATGAGACAAGCGGCCAGGGTGCTGATGGTGAATATGACTATGGTGCTGAAGGTGATGGTGACCCTGAGACAAGCGGTCAGGATGCAGGTAAAGGTGCTGATGCTGAATATGACGCTGAGGGTACAGGGGGCGGGGAGACTGATTATGGTGAGTCACCTTCACCCGATGGTGAAGATGACGGAGACGACGCAAGTAGTGGAGATGGTGCTATAGATGATGGTGGTGCCGGAGAAGGTGGTGATGGTGATGTTGGTGGTGGGGATGGTGGTGGGGATGGTGGTGATGGTGAGGATGGTGGGGATGGTGGTGATGATGGTGGTGGTGGGGATGGTGGGGATGGTGATGGTGAGGATGCTGGTGGTGGGGATGCGGGTGGTGGTGGGGATGCGGGTGGTGGTGGGGATGGTGGTGGTGGTGATGGTGGGGGAGGTGGTGATAGTGGTGGTGATGGTGGGGGAGGTGGTGATAGTGGTGGTGGTGGTGGTAGTGGTGAAGGGATTAACAAAGGAAGCGAAACCAGCCTACAAGATGGCGGACCCGCTAGTGATGGAGAGTACGCGTATGAGTATTATGGTGATGGAGGAGGGGGTGAGGGAGCGGGTGAGGGAGCGGGTGGGGGTGCGGGTGATGAGGAAGGTGGAGGTGAAGCTGAGGGTGCTGGGGTTGGGAAAGATGGAACGCCGGGAGATGGCGGCGGGAAAGGTAGTGGAGGTGGGAAGGGAGATGGAAAAGGGACAGGTGGTGCTGGGAAAGGGACAGGTGGTGCTGGGAAAGGGACAGGTGGTGCTGGGAAAGATGGTGGAGATGGAAAAGGTGGTGGTGGAAAAGGGACGGGTGGTGCAGGGAAAGGCGGTGCTGGAAAAGGGACGGGTGGTGCTGGGAAAGGTGGTGGAGGGGGGAAAGAAATAACGGGAGATGGAGGTGGGAAAGATGGGAAGGGAGGAGCCGAAAATGGGGGTGGAAAAGGCAGTGATGGGAAAGGGGCGGGCGAGAAGGGTGGCGCGGGAGATGGAGGTGGGAAAGGTGGAACTGGGACTGGTGGTGGTGGTGGTGGTGGGAAAGGTGGTGGAGGGGGAAAAGGTGGAGGTGGTGGGAAAGGTGGAGGTGGCGGGAAAGGTGGAGGAGGCGGGAAAGGTGGTGGAGGCGGGAAAGGTGGTGGAGGCGGGAAAGGCGGTGGAAAAGGTGGTGGAGGCGGGAAAGGCGGTGGAAAAGGTGGTGGAGGCGGGAAAGAAGGCTCAGGTAACGGAGGTGGAACAAAGGGACAGACAGGCAATGAGATAGGACAGACTGGGCATAATAAAGAAACAGACGCCGGCGGAGGTGGTGACAGTGGTCTTGGCACCGGGAGCCAGTCTCCCGGAGCAGAAAATTATGACCCAGATGATCGAATCCCGACTGCTGCTGCTCCTCCTCCAGGTCCCTCGGGAGGCGCCCCGACGCCGGCGCCAACCTACACTACCTATCAACGCGTCATATTAACCCCTCCAGCGACGACGCCAGCGACGACGACGACGACGACGACGACGACGACGACGACGCCGACAGTCGCCATCACCGCATCGACACCCTCCACACCCGCCGTTACCAACGTCACGAGCGGGAACAGTGGTAAAATAGGAGGTAACGGCGTCGTCAATGTGCCCATTGTCTACCCGCCCGGCTTCATCACGCCGCCGCCACCCTCCGCCGCCACGCATGGCAACAAGACTGGCGGCGCTAGAGTGACAGATGGCACTAGAGTGACGGGGGCCAGACTGAAGCCCTCACAAGTTCCCCCCGGCGTGGAGGTCATCCCTGGTCCCAGGGGCGAGGTCGCCGTGGTGGTAGGTCAAGATATGTCTCGTTTCTCTGTTATCAAATGTCCACTCATTATGGACATTTGATGTCGATAATGGATATCAAATGTCCAGAAGCTCAATTAGACCTTACAATTCTCCAGCAAGTTACATTCTATCATATCACATTTACTCAAAAATATCTATGTTAAAAGATATCAAGGATATCTATGCATGTTAAAATTAGTAGAGGTCCCAGACCCGAACCCTATGGCAGCCTGCCGCAGATTGTTGCCAACTCATAATCCAGTTTAGCAGTGGTCTGATGTTGGGATTAAGGCTCTTAATATTTTTGAAGGCCACCACAATAGCCTAATGACTAAACAGCGAAAATACCTTGGCCCCGAACATAGTTTAGGGCTACAGTAAACACTCAGACTATATACACGGAATGATAGGCTATACCTCACGGTCCCACGTCATGTGCCTGAGGTCATGATATGCACAACATTTAGTTTTATCACTGTCTTCTGCCCCCGATATATTTGATTGTAAATAAATGTGTATAGGACTTGATCGTCCTCTAGTAAAACAGGTTATTTCAACCACAGCATGCAATAACTTCCTCTGTGTCTCTAAGAGTCAAAAAACAAATACTTAAACTATGTTTTTAATTGGCAGATCCCTTCTGGCATGAAATGGAAGGACGTCAAGAGGTCGATCACTGACAAGAAAGCGCGTCACACCTGGCGAGGCCTCTTCAGCGCAACGAGGAGCCTTCGTCGGCAGGGTCCTCAGCGAGGCTCCCAGAGCGTCAGCGTGACTCCGGTAGACCAGGGTTTGGGGGCACCCTCCGAGGTGTCTCTGGCAGCAGTTCAGCAGATTATTAATGACATGCCTCTCCAACGCCTTAAACAGGTTCGGAAGCGCCTTCAGCAGCTCCTGACGCAGGCCCGCAGAAGTCAGTTGAACATGGTACTGGCGGTACGCGGGGGGCTCCTGGCGGCCCCTCCGGCCAGAGTGACTCTCCTCACATCCCGGGACGGAACTCAGGTGGTCACCATCCCCAATACACTCAAGTGGGTGGACGTGAAGGACGCCTTCGCTACCCCTCAGGAGAAGAAGATCTGGAAGCAGATCTTCGACGCGCGCAACGCCAACAAGAGACTGATGCAGGGGAACGTGTCGGAGATCAGGCAGAGCATCTGGGCCGTGGCTGACATGATCGACAGCATGTCAGGGAGAACATTCACACCAAAGATAAGAAGAAAAAATAAGAATAAGAGGAAGAGGAGGAGAAAGAAGGTATTCCTTACTACCAAGACAAGAAGGAATAACTTAATAAATAATAAGGGTGAGAAAAGGAACAAAAACTCCCGGAAACGCAAACATAAGAAAAACAGACTTAAAAAGATCAAGAGAAGACGAAAACAGAGTAAAGGAAAGCACAGTAAAGGTAAAATAAATGAAATTCGAAAGATATTATTCCCTAACAACAAAGGAAGTGGGAACATGGCGAAAGTAAGCAATTTGGGAAATCCAATAAACATCTCTACAAAGGTCGCCAAAAGTGAAAAGAAGAACAGGAAAAACAGATTGAGCAAAAACAAGGAAAAGATGAAGACGGGAAAGAATAAGAACAAGAACAAGAATAAGAAGAGAAAGAACAAGAAAGCTAACAGGAAAATTAAGAGGAAAAACAGGAGCAAGAAAACCAAGAAGAAAAATGGTAAAGTCACCCAACGAAAGAAAACGGATAAAACTCCCACTAAAAACATCCTCCATAAACATCCCGTGATAGAAAGTGGGACACAAACCTCCAGGAATATATTCCCGCCAATAAATCCCACAACAAAAGCCGTCGCTGAGGCCTCGGGAGAGAGGAGAGGCGGCCACAAGAATCTGGTGAAGAGAGTCAAGAAGAAATCAATTAAACAAAAGAAAAAGAAGAAACTCAGAAAGCTGAAGAAAAAGATAAAGAAATCTAAGCTGAAAAATAAGAAGAAAAAGTTAAAGAAATCTAACAAGCTGCAAAATAAGAAGAAAAACACTAAAAGATTCTTTAAGTTAAAGAAAAACAAGAAGAAATCTAATAAACCGAGGAAAAAGTTGAATAAGAGGAAGTTAAAACCGATTAACGGGGCTTTTGGGCTGCCAAATAAAGGTAAGATTAACGTGAGAGACGAGAAGTTAACAAAATTTATTAAAAGACTAACGAAGAAGGCAAAAGCCAACGCAGATAGGAAAGGGAATAAGCGCAAGTTGAAGAAGGCAAAGAGGAAGCAAGCAATTAAGACGATCAAGAAGAAGAAGAAGAAGAGAGGCCGTGTTGGTAATGTACTTTCACTTGGTCCTCCAAGAGTAGTGTTGGTAGGTAGTGGTGATGCTGCCTTCTCTCATCTCCCTAACTCTGGCATCTCGGCCACTTTGATGCCAGGCCAGACGAAAGACCAGGATGATTGGTTGACTGCTATCAAAACTCCAAAGAAAGATCAAGCTGGACTTCACTGGCTTGTTCCCAAGAAGGAGGAGGACCAATTTAAGTGGCTCGTCCCCAGTAAAGGCCAATTTAACTGGCACGACCCCAAGATAGACTCCAACAAAGATCCACTACAGTGGCTCTTTCCCAAGAAAGACAATGTTCCTTCCGAGGCTACTGGCAGCAGGGGCGTCTTCTCCACCTCCCTCTTCACCCACAAGCAAAATAAGAGGAAAAATAATAATAATAATCGCTGGAAGGCTAAAAAACACAGAGGGAATAAACGGAAAATGCACAAAACAAACAAGAGAAACAAGTCGAATAAGAAAAATAAAAAAAGGATACAATAAAATTAAGACAGACAACACTCCGCTTTGGTTCTGAGACAAAGAGGAACCAAAGATGATGAATATAAAGAGGAAGCCAAGAACACTAATATTACGGGAACTCTTGGTCTTCCCCTTGGACATCTGTGCTGGTATCTGCTCACCCTCGAGTCGTACAACCTTGTACCTATCCTCCAGAATTATATGCAAATGACTTCGGTCATACTATCCTAGGATGTTTAGTAAATGTTTACCTTTTGTTAACATCTAGTTTTTTATTATATGTTTAAGTAAAATGGCAGATCATAAAATATTCTAGAATGTTCCATGAATCATCACATGACTGAGTCGACCAATTAATATGGAAATAACAGCGCGGCGGTTTGTGTTTAGCTGTGATTTTAAAGATACGAATCATGATTCAATCAGGAGGGAGAAGGCACTCCCGGCTCCAGGATTGGTCCTAGTGGAACGAAAGTTTTATTCTAGCTTTAACGACCAAAGTGAGTGGACGTGAGAGGTGTCGCTGTTTTACATGAAATCTTCGTCGGTAATCGTGGCTGCAATTTTCAGCTGAAATGTTACAATAGGACGCGGTTGTTGCGTGTAAAGATTTATTCTGTAACTCCCTACCGTTGCACATAGAGCCCACGACTATTATATAGTCTTGGCGCTTTCGCCTGCTAATTAATTTCCCCATTCCTTCCCGTTATATCATTTCTCTGAGGCAAAGGATCCAGGAAGGAAGTGTGACTATTTGGACATGTTTATATGCAACCAAGAGACTAGGAGCCTTCTCGATGAAGAGGAATCTGTTATCGTAGCGAGTTGTGGAAGAGGTTTTATAACTATATTCTGGACTAAAGTATACTTGCTGGTTAGTCAGCAAGCTATTGTCGGTGACCTTAATAACCCTCCAGAGGTTGATACCCTTAAAGCCTAACACCAAACGTCAATACATCATTCAGTGAAGAGCTGGCAACCAAGAGCTTTGGGTAAGGTTTTAGTGTTGTCATTCTGCCTTTTACACATACACTGTGCATAATTTAATCTGTACAGTGGAAAAACAAATAATTTCCTAAGACGAGGCTTTTGCTAGAATAGGGGGACACTTTATTTATGAGATGTTCCTTTCTACTCTGACCTCAGATCATGCGATAATCTGTAGGTTATCTGTAATTTAATTATGTTAAGTTTTAAAATCTACATGGAAAAGATCCTCAAGGCAAATGGGGGGACCCTTGACAAGCTGTCGGCTTCCTGTCCTCGTCGAGGCCACTAGGGTTAGTGGGCCTCGGGTAAAGCAGGTAAATCAGGTGTTATTTTCTCAATGTTCTAGCTGCACCTTGTAGCATAATCAGTCAGCTATACTCGTGAAGTCAGCTATTTGTTAATGTAACTGTGAATGTCGTATTATATAATCCCATCACTATAGAGTTGGGAACTGTTACGTCATATTAAGTTCCTTCAGAGATCATTATTACTGTTGTACCAAAGACCAGTATACAGCGTGAAGTGCGTAGTCACTTCGTGAGTGACATTTGTCAATGTGTAGATTTAGTCATGGTGCGCTAGGATACGACTTAATGCCTCAGCAACCATATTTCTTTCCTTGTGTTTGTTTATGAGAATATATTTGTTTGTGTACCTTCGTATTTGTACATTATACAATATTAAATAACTGTTTTGATTATTATTAGCCTTTTTCTCCTAGCCCATGTGTATTGGCCTAGCTTAATACCACACAACAATTTATATAATTGATAGCTATATAACTGACCAAGAGAACCACATTCTGATACAGTATCTACTTAGTACTGGATTATTCAAACAGGTTTCACATATATACAACAGAAAGGGTCTGTAGAGTTCAATAACCAAGGAAAATCTTCATACTTAAAAGTTACAGCAAGACGCCTCAACCAGCGGGGAGGAACATTACACACATTTAACTGGAATTACCGCTTACTGGTGAATTAAAGGGCATGCAAAATATAAAACCTTAAGACATCTTTTCGATGGTTATTTTGGATAGTGAAATTGTACCCAAGAATCTACAATGAGACTCTCTTAAGATTAGCAAAAGCAATATGGACAATGGAGTTGAAAGTTAGGTTTATTATTTTATCCATTCTCGTGTTCTTGAATATAGTCTGATAATCTCTCTAGCGTTTGTTAGTTCTGGGTAACAGAGTTCATGTTTATGTGAGAAATCGTCCTGCTACATAAAACGCTGTAAACTCCCCTATTATTCATGGAGTGTTTGGACGAGCATGGCTCTAGGCTGGGTTAGTCACACTACTAGCTAGCACTAAGCGACAAATTATTTGACTCACCATCAAGCTCCTTACATAGTTAAACCTGTTCTTGGTGGCACTTGCAGCTGTCGGGCGTGCAGCTGGCCAGACGACCGTCCTTACAACCGCCTCCTCTGACGCCAGCGGCCATATTGTTGTTGTTGTGTTGATTTAGGGGCGACGACGATGGCCATATTGTTTATTTTCCACCTCTCAAGCGTTTTATCTCCGTGACCGAATTCCCATTTTCTCTGGTAATTTCCCGCGTTTCCCCCCTAAATCTCCTGTTCCCATTGACGTTCATTATACAATCGTATGGAGTTCTCCAGCAAACGTTTCCAGGTATCAAGAGAGATATACACAGAGAGGTTTACTCTGCTTCTTAGCGTATATACAATGAGGCGGAGACATCTAGGTTGACGCCCCGTAGAGGAGAGGTGCCAGAGGAGCAACGTGTTCACGGTCCAGTTAAAAGAGGTTTTGGCTTTCAAGATGAAAATAAAAATGAAACACAATACATATGATTATATATTTATTTTACTACAATATATATAAAGTCAACTTTGATTTGGGTACTGAAAAATTACTTCCTTAAAATCTCGTCATGAGGAACTTGACGTAGCAACCTAATTACCTGAGAGTGGGGAGGTAGAAGCAGGAGGCACCAATACTGGGCACTGAGGCACTCCAGATACCCGCCTCCCATGGCACCAAGGCACAGTCTATGTCCTCCACCACTCCCCAAAAAAATTATACAAAGGCGTATATTTTCACATAAGTAATACTGTAAATAGACCTTCCAAGACAAAAGTATCGTAATACTAGGACAATATTGTAATACTAGGACAATATTGTAATACCAGGAGAATATCGTAACACTACCATTGTACTAGATGATAATATTACGTAGGTGGTAATATTATTGTAGTATTGCTAGACAAACAAAAACAAAACTTGTACACAATTTCCACTCATAACAGACATTCATTATAAAAATATTTTGTATGAAGTTGTACATATTATCATGAATACAAAAGTAGTTTATATTCAATTTTGTGCTGTGTTGAGTGTTTAGTGTCTGGCGCTGTGGGGTGGGTGACGCTATGGGTTGGGTGACACTGGGGGTGACGCTAGGGTGGGTGACACTGGGGGTGGGTGACACTGGGGGTGACGCTAGGGTGGGTGACACTGGGGGTGGGTGACGCTAGGGGTGGGTGACACTGGGGGTGGGTGACACTGGGGGTGGGTGACACTGGGGGTGACGCTAGGGTGGGTGACACTGGGGGTGACATAGGTGTGCGTTAAGGGTGTGGCTGACGCTAGGGAAGGTGGGGGGGGGGGGAAGTTGACGCAAGTGTGCGTCAAGAGTGTGGCTGGTTGACTACCACCAACAGCGTCGAAGTGCAGAGATTTCAACCCGTCCTCGGTAACTATCCAACAGTTTCCCTGCACTTAACTTATAGTTTGGACCAAGTCTGTGGTTGATGATACCCTCTATTGCATTATGTGGCCTTGACATGGGCTATGATGTGAAGATACAACTATAAAATATATTAATATATAAATACAAAAATAAATATTAAATATATAAACATTTAACGAGTGTAACAAAAATACATTATCTCAGAGAACATATATATTTTTTTTAAATTAAATGTTATATTAATTAACAAATTTTGTATTTCTAAAGACACGTGTTTTCTATGGTATATATGATCTATGCTTCTAGATCTCGAACTTTTTTCGATACGGAATATAATAATATCAATAATTCGGCCTCAATAACCTCTTGACGGTTATTAAGCTTTAATAATTAACCGTTATAGGGCTAACATTATACACAAATTGTTCTCTCTATGAGAATGGATTTTTGTTACGACCTGTATATGCTCAGTGGTTCTGACAGTAGTTTAGTTTGAACACGCTCTTGGGTTTAATGAGCAAGTGGACGGAATTGTCGTACATCTAGTAATATATACAGCATTTGACCTCTTTGATCTTGACCCGAGAGTCCTCCAGGGAGCATTGTGACCCAGGAGTCCCCCCGTAGGGGTCATTGAGAGTACTCTTGCTCCCTTAAACACTAGGAAAGCTGGCTACCAAGTTCTGTGACTTTGCAACCAATGATGGAGGCTATTTGTTCTCTCACCCATCAATTAAAACCAAGCAAGACTGTTTTTACCCTTATTTTTCTTGTTCTTTCCCTTGTTTTGTTTGTCTTTCTTATTTTTCTTGTTCTTGTTGGCCTTTTTATTTCCCTTGTTTTTGTTGCCTTTCTTATTTTTCTTGTCTTTCTTCCACCAGTTGTTGGCAGCGGCGCCGTGGTCGGGGAGGAGGCTGGAGAAGATGTTGTCAGCGGCCGCCAGCTTGTGTTGGTCTCTCCTCCGGTCTTTGGTCCCCGTCGCCAGCCAGTCGACCTGGTCTTTCTTCTGGTCAACGGTGGTGAGACTTGGGTTAAGGAGGGAGGAGGAGGAGGCGTAGAAGGAGGAGGAGGAGGAGGAAGAAGAGAAGGGGCTACCTCCTCCTCCACCTACCCCGGAAGACCCAAGCGTAAATATATCATTATTATTTATTTTTTTGTTTTTATCTTTTTTAAACTTGTTCAGTTTTCCATTCTTTCCCGTTTTCTTATTTTTTCCATTCTTTCCCATTTTCTTATTTTTTCTATTCTTTCCCATTTTCTTATTTTTTCCATCCTTTCCCATTTTCTTATTTTTTACCTTCTTTCCAATTTTCACCTTCTTTCTCTTTTTCACCTTCCCATTTTTAGCTTTCTTCCCCTTCATTATCTTCCCCATTTTCAGTTTCTTCCCCTTTTTAACTTTCTTCTCCATTTTAACTCTCTTCCCTAGTTTCACATTTTTCCCCTTTTTAACTTTCTTTCCCATTTTTATTTTCTTCCCCTTTTTAACTTTCTTCCCTATTTTGACTTTCTTCCCTTTTTTGACTTTCTTCCCTTTTTTTACTATATTTCCCATTTTCACCTGCTTCCCTTTTTTAAATTTCTTCCCTATTTTCACTTTCTTTCCCATTTTCAATTTCTTCCCTGTTTTCAATTTCTTTCCCATTTTCAATTTCTTCCCCGTTTTCAATTTCTTTCCCATTTTTACTTTCTTCCCCCTTTTCACCTTTATTTTTTTATTTTTCCTCATCTTTTTCTTCCTCTTTCGAAGCTTCTTTACCTTCTTCATTTGGTTGTCTGGCCCGAGCCTCGTCACGGCATCTTGGACGTGTCTGAGATTAGTGACCGGGGCTCTGAGCGTCTTAGCTCCCAGCAACTGATTGGTCTTAAGTACTGTATTATCTCTCAGCTTATTTCCCTTCTTCGTGGCTTTCAGCCTTATTTCCTTAAATTGTTGGGGTTTAGTTTTGTATTTCTTTCGCTGGTTGGACTTTTTCTTATTTTTCTTTCTTTTATTGGCCTTTTTCTTGGATTTCTTTGGTTTATCAGACTTGGTCTTGTGATTATTGGGTTTGTTCTTCTCTTTCATTGTTTTTAATAATTTGTTATCTCCATTTTTGTTTAACGTGGATTTGATTATGGAGTTGACGGGTCGGGGGTCGCGGGCTCTGGGAGGCTTCCTCGCTACATTTTGCTCTCCAAGATCAGTCAGTCTCGTTTTCTTCTGCTTCGCTAATTTAATGAATTTCAATTGCTGCCTCCTCTTATTCTCCGTCATTTGTTTATTTTTATTCTTGTGACCTTTACGCTTCGAATTCTTCATTTTTCTTAGGTTTTTCTTCTTTTTCCTCCGTGTCATCTTTGTCTTGCTTATGTTGGCAATATTGTTTTTCGCTTTGTTCTTTTTTACCTTCGGTTTTCTTTTAGTGTTTGGATTGTTTTTCCTCTTGTTGCCCTTTCTGACTCTCTTTCGCTGTTTTTGTTTCTTAATGACGTTCATTTTGTTTTGGTTAGGTGTTCCCTTGAGTGAGAGCTGCCCTCTGGAGGTCTGCGGGTCTATGGAGTTCAGTCCATACTTTCCATTCTTCTTGGGGAAGAGTTTTCTTGGGTTCTTCTTTCTTCTCCTATTTTTTCTTTTCCTTTTTCTCCCTTTTCTGGATTTTTTTGAATTCTTCTTGAATTTTCCTTCCTGGTGCATTAATTTGCTTGCAGTTCCGTTTCTCATATCTTTCAAATAATTAGCATTCTTCCCATTTTTCCTTCTACCCATTTTCCTCTCTCCAAACAACAGCTTTCTTTGTTTATTAGCTCTAGATCCTGCCGTCCCAGCTCTGAGGCTTCTAGGGGTATCTGACTCCTTGTTGATCATGTCAGCCACGGCCCAGATGCTCTGCCTGATCTCCGACACGTTCCCCTGCATCAGTCTCTTGTTGGCGTTGCGCGCGTCGAAGATCTGCTTCCAGATCTTCTTCTCCTGAGGGGTAGCGAAGGCGTCCTTCACGTCCACCCACTTGAGTGTATTGGGGATGGTGACCACCTGAGTTCCGTCCCGGGATGTGAGGAGAGTCACTCTGGCCGGAGGGGCCGCCAGGAGCCCCCCGCGTACCTCCAGCATCATGTTCAGTTGGCTCCTGCGGGTCTGAGTCAGGAGCTGCTGAAGGCGTCTCCGTGTTTGATGAAGGCGCGGGAGAGGCATGCCGTCTATAAGCTGCTGAACTGCTGCCAGAGACACCTCGGAGGGCGCCTCCAAGCCCTGGTCAACGGGAGTAATTCTGATGTTAGGGGACCCTCGCTGTGGGCTCTGGTGACGAAGGCTCCTGACGGTGGTCAAGATGCTGCGCCACTTGTTGCGAGCGTTCCTGTCGGAGATCGAGTTCTTAACGTCCTTCCACCTGACGCCTGGCGGAATCTGGTAAACAAAATTATAATTAGATATATATAATGAGGATTCTTTTAAGAGACGATAACGCACGCCTCTTGGCTCATTGAGGATGCTTCATTCATGCATGTATTAATTCTACTATACATTATTCTGCCTCTCATCTGTGAACAATTCCTGAACAACATTCGCAGGAACAGGAGTTATTTAACAGGTGTGATAATAATTAGCACATACAGTACAATATAATATTGTATGGAATACAACAAACATTATTTCATTTTTCTCACTAAGTCAAGTTTTATGAAGCCTGTTAATAAACGTAAAAAAATAAGCACAATTAAATGTTATTAATTTAATTCTTTATATGATAACTATATAAAGTTGAATTGTTTAAGTTTGTGAATGCTGGTTGAGCTGTCTTGACTTACCTGTATAATGGTCTCTCCCCTCCGTCCTGAGACGACCTCCACCCCGCGGGGAATTTGGGAGACATCTGTGAAGCCCATCCCAGTCATGCTTATTCTGGAACTCCCGGTGTCTGTAATCCCAGAGAGAGGCGCGGGCGTGGTGAAGCCCGGGGGCAGGGCGAGCTGCACGTTGATGAGGCCGCTCTCGCCCACACCCCCGGCAGGCAAGCCCGTCCCTCCGCCGCCAGCCACGCCGCCAAGTCTGTCGGCAACACCTCCGATAATAGGCATAGTTTGATTACCATTATATACGTAGCCATTACCATTAATTGGTGTTCCATATACGTAGCCATTACCAGTAGACGGTGTTCCATATAAGTTCCCATTGCCATTTGATGGTGTTCCATACAGGAATCCATTTCCATTAGATGGTGTTCCATGTACGTATCCATAACCATTAGACGGTGTTCCATATCCACCGGGCACACTCTCGCCGACGCCACCGGCAAAAGCTACCGTCCGCTCACCATTATATCCACTCCCGCCATTACCAGATGACATTCCATGCCCAACTAGACCACTGGAACCTGCGGCATAAGCCTCACCACTGGACGGAATTCCATAATCTCCAAGACCATTCGAGCCCTTGGTAACATCCCCTCCACTTGTCATTCCATAATCAAGAACACCGCTTCCAGACGATGTTCCAGAATCTCCCAAACCACTGGAGACTTTCCCATATCCGCCACCAGCGGATGACACTTCATAGTTGTCCATATTACTCGAGCCCTTACCTCCAGTACCTCCTACACTAGAACCTCCACTACCACCACCACCACCAGTAAATAAATCTCCATAGTCTGTTTCTCCTCCTGCTCCCTCCTGCAGGCTGGTCTCCGAGTCTCCCTGGGTTTGTCTGGGGTCCAAGTCCTCGCCACCACCACCTCCTCCTCCTCCTGCACCACCAGCGGGGTCGTCGTAGTAGTCCTCGTAATTGTAGTCACCGTAGTAGTCGTAATAGTCGTCGTTCCCGCCTTTTTTTATGTCTTCGTCAACGGCGCCACCGCTCTCTTTGCCGCCACCACCACTGCCAGCGTTGTTTGACTTGTCACCACCAGCACCGCCGCTACCAGCCCCACCACTGCCACCACCACCACCACCGTCACCACCACCGTCACCACCACCACCGGCCAACGCTCCATCAGCAGTATTCTGGCTGCTCTTCTCAGACTCATCACCATCTTCGCCACCATCAGCATTGTAATCTTCATTATAATCGCCATCATTATAGTCACCTTCATAGTCGCCGGAGTAGTCACCTTCATAGTCGCCGGAATAGTCACCTTCATAGTCGCCGGAGTAGTCACCTTCATAGTCGCCGGAATAGTCACTTTCATAGTCGCCGGAGTAGTCATCTTCATAGTCCCCGGAGTTGTCACCTTCACTATAATCACCCGAGTAGTCACTTTCACCATAGTCACCGGAATAGTCGTCATACTCTTCGATATTTTCATCGCCACTGTATTCGGCATCATATTCGTCACCTTCACTGTATTCTTCTGTGGCTTCGCTTTCACCGCCATCTTCAGCATACTCCTCGCCATCGGCATTATCACCTTCCGGCAATATATCACTATCACCTTCAACATTATCTTCAGCATCCCCTTCTTGATTTTCCGCATACTCATCACCACCGTCGTCAGCGTAAGACTCATCATCATCACCACCACTATCGTCACCACCGTCACCCTCGTCACCACCACCACCATCACCCTCGTCACCACCACCACCGTCACCCTCGTCATCCTGTCGGCGAACTCTCCTGAGCACCTTACTCGAAGTCCCTGGCTCGTCTTCGCCAATATCCGGCGACTCTTGGTATCTTTTGTTGACATGCGCGCGTCTCTCTTCTCTCGTTCTCTCCGGGTCGTCATCCACCTCGCTGTCTCTCCCACCTTTCTTCCCGCCCTTATTACCACCACCGTGGGTATCTCTGTCATCTCCCCGTCCGTCAGGCAAGGAGAGACTCTCGTCTTCACCTCTTATGACCTTCAACCCCAGGAGGTCTTCAGAAGCCTCCGTGTTGCTGCCAGACGAACTTCCCAGCCAGGAGTCTCTGAAGATTCCTCTTAAAGATGAGATGAAGGATTGAAAGAATCCTTGTCTGGGGACTTCACTGTCTTCAGCACGCTCCTGAAGAACGTCAGTGGCCTGAGACAGTTCGTTGATAGTGTGACGGGAACGAGGAAGTTTGGCTTTGCTCTGAGAGTCTTCTGGATGGATATTATTACTGGAAAGCTTCTCGTCTACGAAATCCACGTTACCGGGCTGGACAGTGCCCGTCCGATTGTCCTCTGGTATCTGCGGGAGATTAAAGTTTAACTGTTGAAGTCAACGTATATATATATATAAAAAAGGGCTACGTCGTAACTCTGGAATAATGAATATTAAATGTTCAACATTATTGCTTTGCAATGAAGAGGTTTATTGCAAGGCAAATCTAATCATGGATTTCCATTTTTAAGACTCGTAATAAGGTCAGGGAAGAATTGTGTTTTACACACACACACACACACGCACACGCACACACACACACACACTGTATGTGTGCGGTGTGGGGGCGCGGTGGCTGTGTGGATAGCACACTGGACACGTAATCCTGTGGCCAGGGTTCGATTCCCGGCGTCGGCGAGAAACAAAAATGAACAGTTTCTTTCACCCTGATGCCCCTGTTACCTAGAATAAATAGGTACCTTGGAGTTAGACAGCTGTTACGGGTTGCTTCCTGGGCGTGTGTGTGTGTGTGTGTGTGTGTGTGTGTGTGTGTGTGTGTGTGTGTGTGTGTGTGTGTGTGTATGTGTGTGTGTGTGAACAAATTAGTTAGTAGTTAGTAACAGTTGAGGCGAGCCGAAAGAGCAGAGCTCAACCCCCGGAAGCACAACTAGGTGAATACAACTAGGTTAATACACACACACACACACACACCGGAACCAGCCAAACAATTGGGCCGACATCCATAAGGCTGCAGGTCATGGCCGGCCCTCTCGTTGTTCTACACAATACCTGCGCTAATTACATTGTTATTTGTGTGACCCTTATCTCCCAACTACACATTGAGGCGTGACAGGTATTTCCCGAGATGACGAGGGCGCGGCGGCAGCGGCGGCGTTTCCGTGGCGCGCGCACGGGCATAGTTGACACGGGCGGGGCTACGTGGCGCTCGGGCACGGGCATAGTTGACACGGGCGGGGCTACGTGGCGCTCGGGCACGGGCATAGTTGACACGGGCGGGGCTACGTGGCGCTCGGGCACGGGCATAGTTGACACGGGCGGGGCTACGTGGCGCTCGGGCGCGCGCGTGTGACGTGCTGCGTGGTGCTACGTGCAAGCAATCACCATCATCACCATCATTACTTACCAATCACCATACAACCCATACAGAGCGCTCTCACTATACTTGTCAAGCACCATACAGTCCGCGTTGTCTACATTCACTATTTTCGCCACAACAGTCATGCTATAGCCATTCTCGCCATAGTCAACACACTCACTACACCCAACACACTCACTACACCCAACACACTCACTACACCCAACACACTCACTACACCCAACACACTCACTACACCCAACACGCTCACTACACCCAACACGCTCACTACACCCAACACGCTCACTACACCCAACACACTCACTACACCCAACACACTCACTACACCCAACACACTCACTACACCCAACACGCTCACTACACCCAACACACTCACTACACCCAACACACTCACTACACCCAACACACTCACTACACCCAACACACTCACTACACCCAACACACTCACTACACCCAACACACTCACTACACCCAACACACTCACTACACCCAACACGCTCACTACACCCAACACACTCACTACACCCAACACACTCACTACACCCAACACACTCACTACACCCAACACACTCACTACACACGCAGACAACAGATAATATAGTCACCACATATCCCATTCCTCATCGTCTGACCCCCCACCCCCCCCCTCCTCCTCCTCCCTAACCCAAAACATAAAGTACCCCATTCCCTAGAGTAACCCCCCCCCCTCCCTCCACTTCGTGCACCATTCATAAACCGCTAAAACAACGCCCCAAAAGAGCAGCATCGCGTGTTGTTACCGGGCATCGCGTGTTGTGACGGCATTATTGCAGTCCGCGTTGAATGCCGCCGGAATAAAGAGGCGCGCGGTCATCCCCCGCACAATGATATCCTGTTGCCACCATTTAATAATGTGGAAACACTCGCTGCGCTAACCTTTGTGCAAGTGGGACTCGTTATTTGAAAGCAAAAGTATTCACACACACACACACACACACACACACACACACACACACACACACACACACACACACACACACACACACACACACACACACACACACACACACACACACACATAGGTGAGTACACACCTATGCACTTAACAATGTGTGTATGTGTGTGTGTGTGTGTACTCACCTATTTGTGTCTGCAGGATCGAGCATTGACTCTTGGATCCCGCATTTCGAGCATCGGTTGTTTACAGCAATGACTCTTGTCCTATTTCCCTAACATACCTAGTTTTAAAATTATGAATAGTATTTGCTTCCACAACCTGTTCCTTAAGTGCATTCCATTTTTCCACTACTCTCACGCTAAAAGAAAACTTCCTAACATCTCTGTGACTCGTCTGAGTTTCCAGCTTCCACCCATGTCCCCTCGTTCTGTTACTATTCCGTGTGAACATTTCGTCTATGCCCACTCTGTCAATCCCCTTGAGTATTTTATACGTTCCTATCATGTCCCCCCTCTCCCTTCTTTCTAGAGTCGTAAGGCACAGTTCCCTCAGGCGCTCCTCATACCCCATCCCTCGTAGTTCTGGGACGAGTCTCGTTGCAAACCTCTGAACCTTTTTCAGTTTCCTTATATGTTTCTTCAGATAGGGACTCCATGATGAGGCGGCATACTCTAAGACTGGCCTCACGTAGACAGTGTAAAGCGCCCTAAAGGCCTCCTTACTTAGGTTTCTGAATGATGTTCTAACTTTTGCCAGTGTAGAGTACGCTGCTGTCGTTATCCTATTTATATGTGCCTCAGGAGATAGATTAGGTGTTACGTTCACGCCCAGGTCTCTTTCTCGCGTCGTCACAGAATGTGTGTGTATGTGTATGTGTGTGTACTATTTGAACCTAGAGAATCGAGCTGTTAGCTCTTGGAACCCGCCTATCTAACGGTTGGTCTCTCTCTCACACACACGTACACACATACACACATCCCAGGATTTAACACGCAATTAGAGCTGACTAACTCCCAGGTGTTAATTTACTGTCTGGTGAATAGAGGCATCAGGTGAAAGAAACTTTACTCATTTGTTTCTTCCTCGGCCGGGAATCAAACCCGGGTCCGCGGACTGCGACTCCGAACTTAGTGTGAATATATATATGTGTGTTTCATCACATACAAATATATTTACTTCCAACAAATATATTCATTCTAAAGGCAACACATTATAAATTGACTTAAAAAGTATAAATCAAACATAAGTTATTAAAGTACGACAGGAAGGGACACGGTCAGCTGGAAGGAAGACGAGGCTGTGATGAGATAATCACCTTGACAGGACGATGAAGACTGTGTGAAGACTCGCCGCCCCAGACGTCGCCAGCGGCAGAAGGTGGCGCCACTTGCAGTGTCGTCGGAGGCGGGGCCTTTGTCTCGTGTACGCCGGAGGGTTCACTTATGTTCAAGTGTTCAGAGGGACTATATGTGTCGGAGGTTTGCGATGGCCCACCTGTAGCGAGGACCTGTGAGTGCTCGCCTGCATTAGGAACCTCAGAGAGGTCACTCATATTGGGTGCTGGAGAATACCAGCCTGCATCCAGGACCTGAGAAGGCCCAGGCAGGATATTTGAGCCCGAAGAGGGTTCCCGTATGTGGTGGAGACGGCTGGAGTAGGGCTGGGAGTCGGGGAGAGCAAGGGCACCTCCAAGCACCAGCATCCCTAGCAGCATCCCACGGATAAATCTGAGAACACAAGAGATAACACAGCAGTAATTTTGTGCTGAGAAAGAGAGAGAGAGAGAGAGAGAGAGAGAGAGAGAGAGAGAGAGAGAGAGAGAGAGAGAGAGAGAGAGAGAGAGAGAGAGAGAGAGAGAGAGAGAGAGAGAGAGAGAGAGAGAGAGAGAGAGAGAGAGAGAGAGAGAGAGAGAGAGAGAGAGAGAGAGAGAGAGAGAGAGAGAGAGAGAGAGAGAGAGAGAGAGAGAGAGAAGAGAGAGAGAGAGAGAGAGAGAGAGAGAGAGAGAGAGAGAGAGAGAGAGAGAGAGAGAGAAGACGTGCACTGTATTAATCAAATGTTGTTATTATCTCGTGAAGCATTACAACGAGCTGGTGTTAAATATTCGTCTTCCAAGAATATTAGGGAATCACGGAGAAAAGGTCGATCACTTACGCCATCACTGCTTGTTGGCGATGTTGGTGATGTTGGCGATGTTCAACGATCCATCGTGGTCCAGCGTCGCCTCCCAGATGGTCCTCCTCCACCATGCACCTCTTCCTCCAACACCTACCACCACTCCTTTGTCTTCTTATACTTCTTTAGTCCCGTCTTACACTTTTTTATTTATATTCTCACTACGAAACTCTGCAGCATTCGAAGTCTAGTGTGTCTGAAGACAGGGGGAAACATATATAATTTATTTGTAATGTCTAACAATCTGATTGTTTATTTATCATGTTTTTCACAAGTCAATTGTTGTTGTGCAGAGTTGCTCAGGATCCCCCATGGGTCAAGAGGGTTGAAGTAGCGATGGAATATTCAACTGAGTTAGATCAGACGACTGTGTACATGTTCATTGGTTAAGAACACTTGCTGTTAGTTCCCTGTTACGTCTAAATCTACAATCACCTGGTCCCTCTCATAACCTACAACCACCTGGCATCTAGTGGTTGATTCTACAACAACAACAACACGTGGTTAGTCACACCAACAACCCGCACTACCAGCTGGCTAATCACTCCATTACCATCTAGTAATCCAATGCCCCCAACACCCACTTGAGTGACCGTAGTAATATACACAGCGCCCGACCACTCACCGCACCACTGAGCCACACAGCGCGCCAACAGGGACTCTGGTCCACGTGAATGACTGCGATATATACACACTCACCTGTTTTAGGTAACCGGTGACGTCACGACGGTCGATGGCATCATATACATGACCCTGGCCGCCTCTTGCTCGTCACATGTGGCGGGAATACACTTTAGCGCGTCCGTGACGCTCACACACAGCGTCACACGTAACCTTGGGGGAGGATATGGTTACGTATTGTCGGGGAGAGGAAGCTTGTTAGGGGTTCGAGGTCCCTCCAGGCTAAATATGGCCATTCGCCACGTGCAACCCACAACAGTTCATTAACTCTCAATAAATTAACTCATTAACTCATAATAAATTCTTATTATGCGTTAAAATTTGTGAATGAATCTTCGGGGTCGGCCTCAGCGTGTAGGAGCATAGCCTGAGGACAGGTTGAGGTAGGACAAGGGAAGCTTGGGTAGTCGAGGTTGGGGCAGGGGGGAAGAGGTACTTACCTCAGGCGTCTGCCCTGACCTCTGGTGGTGCGGCTCTCTTGAGGTCTGGTAGTAGCTGGAGCAGTTGATGTGGAGGCCAGGTGGTGGAGACCAGGTGGTGGAGGACAACATCCTTTGATTTTCACTGTGTAGTCCTTCATATAGAATATATGCAGCAACACACTGTATGCGCTTGTACCTAAGTTCGTTAATAACAAAAGAACCTGTTCTCTCCGCTCCTAGTTGCTAAAACGGCCGAGTCTCGACTAAGTTGATCATATACAAGTTTACACAACACAGTCTCCTCCCTCCATCTCCCTCTCCTCCCTCCATATACCTCTCTCTCCCTGTCTTACCTCCAAGGAAGACATCCTCCCTCACAACCTCTCACAACTCAGCACTTAAGGAGAAACAAAACCCATTTCCACACCTGATATCTTTATTCTCCAAGAACACTATAAAGGGATGTAATATACACCTCAAGTAGATACTCTTGAAATTAACATAATTTGTAGAACTGCAATACTGAACCGAATACTGAATATATTTGTTTTGTTGTCTATCACTAACAAAAATAATATCTCGATTTTAAAAAATATTTTATTCTAGGTAAATTTTTAAGTATTTTTAGCATTTTACTTTCTGTACAACATTAGTTTAGGTCAAACATTCTTCAATTTGAACATGTAAGTACGTATATCGAATCTCAGCGTCAAAACCTGCTCAAGTAACGTTTAATCAATGTAAACTTATTGATGAATCATTGTTACATCAATGTAAACTTATTGATGACTCATTGTTACATCAATGTAAACTTATTGATGAATCATTGTTACATCAATGTAAACTTATTGATGAATCATTGTTACATCAATGTAAACTTATTGATGAATCATTGTTACATTAACGCTTCATGTCGTCTTTGGTCATGAGAAAGCGTCTCCAAGCACAATCTGATTTAAAATAAGGACAAAATCATCACAAAGCACTTTTCAATTTATTGTAATAAGAAAAAGCGAATTATAAATTTTTCGGTAAATAGTATTTAATAAAATAATAAAACAAAACATCGATACGTATATATTAAATACAAAAAAATCGTTCTTGTATATCTCTGCATTTGGTTCTTATTAAAACAGCTTTAATAATAGTCATATTACCCTAATTAGAATTATTTTCATCCAAAAGAGCCTTTTTTTTATACCTGGACTCTATTGCCTTCTGTCTCTTTTAACAACCTGTTATGTCTCTGTTTACATAAACTCGCCACAAGAGCACTCGTTACTGTCAAACTGCCCGAAACGCTGCGCGTACTAGTGGCTTTACAAGAGTGTAAATACTGTACTATGCTATGTATTCTCACAAACCCAATGTACCTTCTTGTATATAATTAAATCAAAATAAAATAAAAGAATCAATACCTCGTAGTTTGACCAGACCACACACTAGAAGGTGAAGGGACGACGACGTTTCGGTCTGTCCAGGACCATTCTCAAGTCGATTGTGTTACAATCGACTTGAAAACTTGATTACAATCGACTTGAGAATGGTCCAGGACGGACCGAAACGTCGTCGTCCCTTCACCTTCTAGTGTGTGAGGTCTGGTCAAATTACTTTAGCCACGTTATTGTGACTCGTCGCCTGTAATACATCGTAGTGTTATTTTTTAAGTGAATTGACTTGACTTTAAGTTACAAAAAGTGTGAATATTTTGCTATTCCTAGCGGGCAAAAATGTGCTTGAGAAACGCTACAACAATGTAGGTTTAACGTTATATCAACATTAGGATCAACGATAACAACGTATCATCAACGTTGATTCAATGTCTGATCAACGTAGCTTGGCTTGGCCCGCTGGGCTGTCAAAGAAAGTTTTAAAATCTACCATTAAGACGCCTATAGTGTTCAAAGAACATATTTGTGTGCTAAAGTTCGCGTTTTTTTTGTAATACTCTGACTTGGGGCGTAACCTTTTAATTTCATAATGTAATCTCCAGAAACCTAGACAAATATTACATACTGACAGACACATGGACATGGAACATGGATTTACAGCCTTTAAATGGCATATTGATGAGAAATATTTCAGAATACAGCAGCTTTTGTATTCTGAAATACAAGAATTATAAGACACACATTTTTATAGACACGTAAACATTGTTTCTTACCACTCACCTCCAGCAAAGAAAATATGTCACTTATTCGGTATTATATAAATGATTTGTTTTGTTTTGTTTAACATTGTGGAAGAGAGCACCATTGGCTTCCTCTCCGGAGATGGACAGGCGCCAGAACAACACAGTAACATGTGATGGTCACTAATGGCTTCGTGCTGTTACTCCAGAGTCGCCGCCACTTTCTCTTAACGCAGTCACCCGTTAAACTCACATTTCTCTCATACCGCACTAACAGAGAAAACTGGGAGGTCATCCTCTGTGTCAGCCTCCATCCTCTTTGCCCGGGTTGCGTGTCTATGGCCAGCTATGCCTCGATCCATTCTCTGTGCCAAGCTCCGTTCTCTATGTCTATAGCTCCATCTGCCGTGTCTAAGGAACTGAGACCCACAACGCCCTTCCCCACCCAGTTTTGGCTTTCTGTTTCTCGGCAACAGCAAAAGCCTGCGAGAAACAGTGTGTAGTCCCCAGTTTACTTTAGATTTAAAATTAAGTCCCATTACAGATTCCTGTTCATCTTTTTCAATTTCGATTGAGGCCAAGTCCAATTCTGTAATCCAAAACAACATAGTTGACTAGTATTCCAGCTGAGTGCGTGTCATACAGACTAACGAACTCTGAGAAAGTTCAAAACCAATCGTACTTCATCATAAGTTCCACAAGGTCTTAAGGTTCCCAATAATACGACCTTCTCTCCCGCTCACCCTACGTTTCTCAGCAACAAAATGTGCGTTTCTCTCTCCCTCGTGAGTAACTGTCCTTCACGAGTCCTATAGAAGAAACTATTGGGCAGTTGTGCTTCAATTTTTACCTAGGTACAGCTCATAAACATCTCAAATCACACAGATTACCTCATCTACAACCCACCAGAAAAGTAATCGGAGAGGTCGCTCTCTCTCTCTTATACACATACATACAGACACACAAACAAAGGCTGAGTTGACAATGAAAGACCCGTCGAGCGGCTATCCGTCTCCCAAGCCGGTGGAGAGTGTTCAGCGGGACTCGAGGAACTGTCTGACGCAGGGGTCGTGGGTGCAGATGCCCTCTTCGTCGTAGCGTCCATCGTTGCTCAGTAGGTTAAAGGTGCTGCCGGCGGCACTCAGGCAGTCCAGGTTCCTGGAGCAGGCGGCCTCCAGGGAGGAGGAGAGGACGGCGTCACACTCATGCTGGGACACGGCCATGCCAGCTCCCTGCGGGGCGGGAAGAGGCGGCGTAGGGATGACTGTGTTATTTTATGTTGGTGGCGAGGTTAGTGGAGAGGGCGGGGTCGTGCATGGTTCATGACTGTCATCATCATCATCATATGATTATAATCATCTCAACAGAATTAATAATTAACATAAATATTGAATCATTGCTGTCAATAAATTATCTTCATTATATAACTTTACATGGAATAAAATATGCACACGGAAATACTGTGTGTACAACACGCAGAAATTAAAATGCACTAACACACAAACCTCCACACTTAATTGTTTAATGCGTCAAGTATGCCCCTTAGAATGATCTACGTCGTCATCATGTCCACTCTCTGTTCCTCCTCTCCTCCAGTGTGGCGGAGGTCCAGCTCCCTCACACTTTCCTCATAGCTCAAGTCACTCAGCACAGGAATCCCCCTCGTCCACCCCCCGAACACACACACACACACACACACAGGCGGGACCAAAGAGCCAGAGCTCAACCCCCGCAAGCACAATTAGGTGAGTACAATTAGGTGAGTACACACACACACACACACACACACACACACACACACACACACACACACACACACACACACAATACTCACACACATGTAGCAGACTTCATGACGGAGACAAGCGTCGAGGAAGGACCGGTCCTGGTCCCCAGCCTTCTCGCTTACTCCTATGCAGTTCAGCAGGATCCTGTCCAGCACAGGGCAGTCTGTGGGCGTGGGCGGGGTTAGTGGGCGTGGGCGGGGTTAGTGGGCGTGGGCGGGGTTAGTGGGCGTGGAGGTGTATAGTGGGAGGGTGATGGATGTAAACTAGGGTTTTATAGCACGGTATTATCACACTCATTAGCATGCCATCGGTACATAATACTGATGCAAGAAGCTTCACCTTAACAAGTGCTGCTTAAGTAACATCTTAAGGAAAACCCTCTACGTCTTTAGTGTTACTTAACACCCCACCTCCCTGGCGTTACTTCAGGAGCACCCCTATCTCCTGGTGTTACTTATTAAATTAAGGAGCACCTTACCTTCCCTGGTGTTTCCCATGAAGAGATCGTGGAGTTCATTGTCTCCTCGTCTTAGGTTCCTCCTCAAGTTTCTGCTGTCCTCCCCAGCCTTCTTCTTCCTTCTGGCCTCCTGCTGCTGCTGCTGGTGGTGTTGCTGCTGGTGCTGCTGCTGCTGCTGTTGCTGGTGTTGCTGGTGTTGCTGCTGCTGGGTCCGTCGCTGTGGCGCCTGAAGCTGCTCCTTCTGCTTGTGCGACGCTGCCTCAGCTTCACCCTGAGAACCGAGGAACATGTCAGGCCTGAGACTATGAACTCCTAAGATTGAGTCATTAGGCTCACCACAACAGCTTACCACACCACACTCAGCGCAGGCTGAGTGGACAGCCTGCACGCTGTCCACTCAGCTACCAGACCCCCCTCCACTCAGGGTGTGTGTGTGTGTAGATTTATCAATTAGCTCAACATTTAAACCTATAAAGGTTACCATCAGTTACACAAGAGTTTCCATCCTGTTAATATTTACATATTATTTAGCACTGCATTAAGCAAGAATTTTACTTAATTATCAAAGTCATTAAGCAAAAAGTTAAGTCATTACTGATCCTTCCCTCAGAACCTCCAGAATTCCCATTGTCATTGACACTGTTCACTGGGATTCTCCTGTCACATGTTGTTGTAGATTCAGCTACTCGGAACAAAAAGTTGCAAGTAGCACGGGCTATGGTGAGCCCGTAGTGGACTTACCTGGCACAGGAGCGGGGCTGTAACTTCTCCTGTCTGTCTGTTTTCTGTATACAGGTGGGTAAAGAAGACGGCTTCCGACCCCTGCTAACAGGCTCAAAGCTTTTCGTCGGATCATCTCAAGTCTTACACTACAAGTCTTTCCCTGAAACGC